TTCAGAAATATACTACTTGGACTTCATTTTTTATGGTTTTGGAGTAAATTCGAGGTGTAGTCTAAGGGATTTTAAGGTGTTAAAGTGAAGTTTAAGGAATTCGAGGAAAGTAGCAGAAATTGATATAATAATGCTTGATAATGAGAACAAATTTAATTTAATGAAAATCCACACAATCAAAACAATTTCAGTCACCAAAAATCTCGTATAACATAAAACTTTCACTTTATTTTACAAATCAACAGGAATTGTAAACAACAACATGATTTTGATTTGAATGTTAATAAACATTAAGTGATGCGATCTTCTACTTATTACCATTAGCCTATCAGCTTAGTAATAAAATGAAAGAAGTGTTAAAATGAGACCTCTCGATGTAACGTTCTATCTGTTCTGTCTTGTGATTTTGGAAGTGAAAGGTAAATATTTTTCTTTAAAACTTTACCTGGTAATTGGAAGAAAATTTTATTATGGTATCGTTGAGGTCATGACTTTTTTTATTGTCCGAAAAGCATTTATTCATTCATATATTATTCATTTGTTTATATAGGTTCATATTTTAAAGAATACTGTTACGATCGACCGGAATTAGCCTGTGCCGAGCAACACACCCTGGAATGTGGAGAAGGGCAAGTTATAACAACAGATATACCCAACTTTCATGTCAGTTATTATAAGAATAGAAATCATTCAGATTGCCAAACTGGGGACGATAGGTGTAAAAATAAAACAACTTGTTGCAAACATGTTAACAATAGTGTAACTTTACAAAAAATCAGTTTTCATCTGCCAATAACACTGCGCTCATAAACTTCATAAAGTCTGGGTGCACATCTAAAACCAGATGTTCAATCAATTTGTATTACAATAATGCTAGTGGTTCTGATCTATACGATTATGTAACGTATCTTTATGACTGTATCTCAAAAGGTATGTGTATTTCAATTATGCAAAGTAAATTTAAAAGTTGACACAGAGTCAACTTTCCTCATTAGCGTAATCTCACCCTTATTACAGTATTTGATAACATACAGTTGTGGACATGAATGATGGACAAAATTTTTCAGGTGTCGTTATGAAGTGATCCCTGATGCTTGCTTTCACATGTGTTATATATGTGCAGTCTGTGTTCTTTGTGCTTGACACAATATCAGAATGTGATAAAAATAAAAAGACTTTGACTATTATGATGTTTGACGGCCAAGAATACTCTTTTAATTAAGCTCTGTATTTTTCATTAACAGAAAAGATTATCGACATCCTGGTGAATAGATCAACTAAATTTAACGGAAGCAATTCACAAGTTCTATATTATCTGAACTATATTGGAAATGGAACGAACGATGATAATGAAATGATACTCAACAGAGAATGTACTGTGACAACAACTAAAGATGATATATCTTTAACGATAAAGAAATTGAATCTCAAGGCGGATGACTGTTGTCGATTTAACATTACTAGACACAACGTTTCGGAATATTGCTCACAGAATGGTTCGTTTATTCCACCCAATGCCAGATATATTGGTAAAAAAACAGCATCTGTAAGACTTGAGAACGTGGTAAATAAAGATGGCGAAAGTTTCTCAATATTAGTTAAAGCTGCAGGTAAGAACGATTTTCTTTTAAACAAAATATTATTGTGAGGGCTACAGCCATTAATTCCTGACGCTTCCAGACCCCGAAAACCCTTTTTCTACTCCTTCGTTTTAAGCTTCCCTTTTTATTTCAGTAGTTACATGTTGCTTTCCAGTTCCAATATATTTATCATTTTACAGGTAATGTAACTATAGACTGTAGAACAATTGAACAAGACAATATACAAGGTAGGTTTGTCATTTTCTTCCATTTACTCCTCACCATGATGTGAAGTTTTAGAAACAATAACTTACTGGACTAATAAAATGTGCATGAAGCTTGAAGCGTAATATCTCATATAGCACCTTTTCAGATGCACCATCCGTTTTAAAATTGATTTTTTTTTTAAAAACTAAATTAATCAGTAATATTGTTCACAACTCACCGTCTAAAATTGAGCCTTCAAATCCATGTGTGTCGAGATTTATCCATGTTTGTAAGTTAAAATGACGACTCGAATCCACCATAAATAGAAAAGACATAGAAATAGAAAGTGGAATTTTTTAGATTTAGGTACATTGAAGGCATTTAGCGATTTTCGTGCAGTTCTGAAGATTATTTGCATATATTCAAGATCCTAATTAACTATTGAAAATGACGAACCATCGCCTTAAATGAGCGTAATGTGACGAAGCACCTTATTGAACAGATTGTGTTCCAGTGGACTTTTTTTTATCGTGGACAGCTACACAGTGGAATACCATTTAGATATTTATAAACCCTATTCTTAAAATACGAAACAATCCACGTACACAACACATAGATGTTTCCATCGTACGTTT